TCCGAAATAACGCTTTGAGCGCCACCTGCTAGACAAGACTCGGTATTACACTTTAAAAAAGGCCGGGATTTAAGATTCAGTAAACAATCAACATCCGTCAAGTTTAACTCTTCTTTTAACAAAGCAGTGGCTTAATGATGCTACAGCGCCCCCTAGCTGAGTAGCATCCAGAGGATTCTGTGTTTTCTGGAAGAGACGAGCCTGTGCAGCGACACACACACACACACACAGAGGAAATCAGGACGGCGCTCTGCCTGTGAGAGGAAATTAGACCACCTCATTATTCAAATTAGCTGAGAGGAAAAGCGAGTCGCTTGCCTCGTTTACGCCTCAACAGATGGAGAGATCTGTCACTCTTCCTCTTCGTCTCCTCGTTCTGTCATCTCTCTGCTCCTCTCCGTTTATCCTGCTCGTTCCGGCAGGATTTCCCATCATGCATCACTTCCCTCACAATCAGCACTTGTTGCAAACCTTAACCTCCATCCTGATGGCAGCTGTCGACCTTCCTTCAGTGGATGGTAACGTGGTTCTGGTGTTGCCTTTGACCTCTGACCTTCAGTTCTATAAACTCAGTTGTATTGAGTGAATTCTGGTTGGATGTTTCACTTGGCTAATTCCTCCATTTCACGCTATCAGAATGTATGCTAGCACGTTTGATGAGATAGCTGAGCGGCTAGCCTGTTTCTTCTCCACCAGGGCGGCCATCACTGTCCTGTTAAGACGGACAGACAGCGGTTTTCCCCCACTCAGTCGTTTCCTGAGCGACACAGAGCACGCGTACGCGCTGGTAAAAATCCAGCGGCTCCTCTGGGCTGTAGCGCCTCTGGTGGCCTCTGAAGGAACTGCTGCAGTTTTTTACATAAACTCAGTGATTGGAAGCAAAACTTGCGGCACAGCGAACCACCCAGCTGTCACTCAAACCACAGTAACCACGGCAACCATGCAGGAGGCAAATCTGAAAGGTGATAATCAGAGGGAGGGTGATTGTCATGGAAACGAGCCCTGACCTTTAACCTTACTCATTCCTCCACACACATTTACACACCAATCAGAGCAGGAGTGTGCGTGTTTCTGCTCTAACCTTGTCACACACCAAGCAGCCTGCTGACACGCACACACCCCCTTCAGCAGTGATGTGCGTTACCACAGCGCCTCCTGCTGGTTGATGCTGTAATTCCTCCAGTTTTACACCAGGATCAAAAGAATAAATTAAACTAAAACATTTTAAATATTATTTAAATTCTAATTTAAATTAGAATTAAGAAATAATGGTTTATTAATATTGAAATATATTTAAAATATATTTTTAAAAAACACCAGAAATATTCATTAATGTGATTTTTGTTGTCAAACTTCAAGAACCAGAACATCAGCTGAACTGAGGGTCCTGTTTCATGGTTCTGTAGAAAACAGAGGAAATGAACCAACTTTCAGCAGAACTGGGCTTGGATCATAGAGTCAGAACCAAACTGCTGCTGCTCGACGTTACAAGGCAAAAATTTTACTTGGTTCTGGTGACCGATTAAAATTAGATTTGAATAAATGTATTGATTTAACCCTTGAAATTCTGGATCAAACCTCTCAGTAATGCCAGGATTATTGATATTGCTCATGGATCTTAATCTGACTCTGGATTAACTCCTGAATTACTGTTCTACATACATGACAAACATCATGATATAAACATCAGTCGATATTATTACGGATTAGTTTTTTAATCAGGCATACTGAATGTTTTCTGGCTCCATAGACTCCGCCCACTTTCTGCAGACAGTTCAGATTTCATAGTCAAGCTCACCAATCGGCTTCAGTTTGAAAATAAAACCACTGAGATATTCATCAGAACATTTTATTACCAAGCTGAACATTAAATAAAAACCATCCAGAGCTGAGAAGCAAACATCAAACCTCTGGTTAAGAAATGCTTCGTTAAATAATTTCTGTTGGTTCTACAGGTTCTGATCGCCTGATCCAAACATCATGAATCAGTCTGGAAATGAGTTGAGTTCCTGTTCAAAACAAACAACTTCATCCAACAAACTGAGTCCATCAGACCGGTCCAGATTCAGGTTCTGGAGGTTCTGGAGGCTCCTGGTGATGACGGTTATTTAGAGACGTTTGTGCGTTTCAGTCGCTTCGTTGCATAGTTTGAGTCCGCAGCATGAAATGAAAGACATGAGGACAGACGGACGCAGAGGACAGACACTGGAAAAGTGCAGCAAACAGAGAGGAAACGGCAGTCTCCACTGTGTGATGACCTTTAACCCCAACTATCACACAGGTAGGGTTAGCTTGAGCTCATTAGCTACAAAAACTGTTAGACTAACCGGTTTGATCTGGTTGGAGGAATTGGAAGCTGATGGTGTGTTTAAGGACACTTGTTCAGACATGAAGGCAAATTTAGCAGGAAGTGAAGCAGCAAAGTCTCGTTTTTCCGCATTTAACCTTAAACAGAAACATCAGAGGTCAAAGGTCGTCAATAATCTGGGGTTTTAATGTGGGGGTGTTAATTTTTGTAGCTAATGAGCTAAGCGGAGTGCCCGGGCCGGGTCAGTTCCTGCAGCCGATCTCCTCTTTGTAGCGGTTCGTTAGCGTGTTAGCCTTTAGCGTGAGCTTGGACAGAACCGCCTGGAGTCCGTTCAGGTGGAAGTGGAACTGTTTCTCCAGGTCGTCGTCGTCCTCAGCCTCGCTGCGCTTCGCCTCGGCCTCGGCCTTGGGCGGCTCGTCGCCCAGGACGCCCCACTCCATGTCGTTCCGGATGGACTTGAGCAGGACGTAGGAGCTGTACATGTCTCCGTCCGGCTGGAAGTAGCCGTTGGTGGACGGGGCGGACTCTGGGACCTTCAGATCCTCGCCGTCCTCCAGGGGGACGTCCCGCAGCAGGCTGGGCACCATCACCGTCTGGTCCATGTTGTTGACGGCGCCAATGAAGCGGCTCATGGCGGTGAAGAGCGAGTTCTTCTGGTTGTAGGAGTCCGATATCTGCATCATGGTGACGTCCGTTCTGACCGCCCGGCGCCGTCCAGGACCAAACTTAGCCTGCTAATGCTCTTTGGGGGATTAGGATGGAGCTGGAGCCTGATCCTGGGTCAGGAGGGAGGGACTCGGCGCGTGATCCAGACTCTGGGCCGGGTTGGTCCTGCAGGACTCCAGACGTCCACCAGCCACACTGGAAACAAGCAGGAAGACAAGATCTATCCTGAAGGAAAGCTCCTCTGAAGGATTATTCATCTAGATTAATATTCTGGAATAATAATCCAGAATCCGACATTCATCTAGAGGTTCAGATTAAACACAACATGGCAGAAAAAGCTGCTACTTTTAATAAAATCATAAACTCTCTTCAAACTGTAAAACATAACTTCAACCTTTATTTAACTCTAAGCATGAAAAGAATAATTAGAATCGGTTCGGCACCCATCGGTTCTGAGGAACCTAACTGCTGCTGAAATACAGGAACTGTCCGATGATGGAACCAGCATCACCCTGTGGGTTTTCTATGCAAATATCCCCGAAAATCAGTAGAACAAATTCACCAGTACCCCAGGATGTTCGGTTATCCTGATCCAATTGAACCTCATTATAGGAGGCTAACGGAACATCTGTCCGCGGGATTCGGGTCAGAACAGCCGGTACTGCGCTACAGACCAGCGGTAATTCCGGGTCCCGCTATCCCTGACTCGCTAACGCCTCACTAACCGGAAATCCCCCGCAGGTGGTCGGTCCAGAGGTCTTACCGTGTGCCGGCCGTGGTTCCTGGCTGCCGTCCGGGTGAGGAGCACCGAGTTCCGGTCGTCTGTCGGTCCGGGAAGCGATGAGCTCAGGGAGGGTCGGCGGGTTTGTCCGAACAAGGGTGTAGCGGAGCGGCGGTGGGGCGGGACTTAGAGTCTCAGGAAGCATCAGCTACAGCCAATCACAGCGAGGTACGAAAAAAACGACCAATCATACACGGCATGACGTCAGATGGAACGTTGGAAAATGTTAGATTGTTAAACTGATTAATTATGAAGTAAACAATTAGTGTAGAGGAAGCAGTTTAATTTATTTACTTTATATATAAAGTATTTTATTATTAATCAATTACTATAAATTCTTAAGGTTAGCAATTAGTAATTGATTATATTAAGGACGATTATTCATTTAATCTAAAAAATGCATAATTTACTATTAGTATTGCAGTATTATTACTGTAAATAAATATTTGACTCGCTTTTTAAATTATTTAACTATATTAAATAAATTATGATTTATTATTATTTAATCATATTAGCATTTATTGGTATTGATGTATTTAAATTTATAAACAATTATTTTATTTCTTTTTATCATAGTATATATTTTTGTATAATAATCGATGAGAAGGATAGCGTTGTTTGCCTTAGTAATTAACAGCAGTTGTAAGAGGCTTTTATTTTGAAGGAAGTGTAGTTCAGGCTCAGTTGAGAGTCTGAAGTTGAGAAACTGTCAAAAACGGGAGGATTTATTGACTTTATCATTTTATGTTGCAGTGAGGAGAATCTGTTGGTGTAGATCTCAACAGAAATCAGGTTTACATCTGAATATTTGCTTTAGATGAAACTTTTAGTGTTTATCAGATCAACACAGCTTCAGTCCCACAAAAACTTTTATTTTCTAAACATAAGGAGTAAAATGTGAGTTTCATCTTCAACCTGCTCTTGGTTCAAACAGTCTGCAGCTGGTCTGGCGCTTCCAGCGCATCATTATCATGTAATAACACCACAGCGCCCTCTGCTGGGCGCATGGAAACACTGCAACCAGTTAAAACAGCAAAAATCTTCATAAAACAGAATAAATACAAGAAACAATGAGACAGTGTGTTTGTGTCTGCAGGTTTCCATGGTGACGTCCTCCTGATGCGTTGTCTTGGAGATGGCAGATGGAGGTCAGATGACAGGATTCCAGGTGAGGGACACACCTGTCCTCAGCTCACCTGTCAGACCATCTCGTACTGGTTGGTGCTGATGAAGTGGGCCAGGCAGCAGGCCAGAGACGTCCCAAGAACCTGAGACAGAATCGGGTCACACTGGGCCCAAACCTGAGTTACCTGTGAAGGTCAGGGGTCAGTACCTGAGAGAAGGCGATGCCAAAGGTCACGCCAGCTATGACAGCCATGTTGTTCTCTATGAAGGAGACCACCAGCTCATAGCAGCCCTGCAGAGACACAGAGACACAGAGACGGGTCGTCCATAAACCTCTTAAAAGGCAAATTAGGACCAAATGTTTTAACTTTTACTTCTAAAGTTTTCTTCCTCCATGATATTTTCTGTAATTGTTTCCGCACACATTTTGTTGAGGCATGAAAAAAAGATAAAACGGTTTCATTAATGTTGAAAGAAGGCAGTATAAGATCAGCATTTTCAACCAACTTAATGACTGAATTGTTGCAGATATCAGCTTCCTGGAGGTTTTAATCAGCTTCAGTCAGAACTCTCCTGCTGTATAACTGTGACCTCCTGACCTGTCTGTAGACTTTGTGTGCAGCCAGAGTTGCATTCTTCAGTTCAGCTTTGCTGCACTCCACATAGGTAACACAGCAGCTGGCAGGGATACCACTGGCAGGGAAATACACACTGCTGAACCAGCTGGTGTAGTTCTGGACTCCACAGCAGTGCAACTGAAGAAACATCCAAAAAGACAAAAGACGCCACGTTCAAAGGTCAATTCTGTTTTTGGTTATCTTATGAATAAGCTAGAGCATCGTCTGCGTATGGTGTGATCTGCAGGTTGCCATGGTGAATGTAGAGAGACTGTTAACTGATAAATATGGATATTGTTCTTTAAACGACAGAGAGAAAACAAAAAGATTAAAAACTAAAAGCCAGGAAGGTCAGAGTAGAGACCCTGACCAACGCTACAACTGTTAGGTATTTTTCTCGAACCTAAATAAAAGAACCACAGACAACGTATATGAATTTTAAGGCAAAGCTTTTGCAAAAGGAGAAGTCTCTGCCAACTGCTTCTCCAAGCCGTTCACAGAGCGTTCTGGTCTGCTTCCGCGTGAGCCCCTGTTTTATTGTCAAAGCAGAACAACCAGGAAAAAACAGAGGTCGTAAAACATTTAACCCAAACAAACTAGCAACTCAGTTCCAGGTGTGATATCTGATCTACGGTCTGAGCCCGGTTCAACTCTAGGTCAAACTGTCAATAAAGAAGAAGGAAGATAAACATAAGACAACCTAAGTTAGGAGGTATTCTGGTTGTCAAGAACTTAAGGTCTGAGAAACACAGAGCCAACTGTCTCACATGAAGACGAACAGACAGTTGTGACCTCCAGGTCAGTTTATACACACATAAGGAAGAGAACACTTTAAACTGAAAATCACAATAATACTGATTAACATTAGACTGAATATGAACTAAAGTAATAACAAAATGATAATACCAAAAAATCTCTATCAACAACCAGCTAAGGATTACCATCTGCTGAACTCACTGTGCGCTGGACGCTGTCCACTGCCATGCTCCTCTCGTCATATCCGTTGTACCACATGACGGCCTCAGAGTACGACGTCAGGAAGGTTCCCTTAATCTGGAGACACCCAGCCGATCAGACGATTTACCGAGTCAAACGCCTGAAATGAAGCAGAATGTTTCTGACCTCGTGACGAAAGACGAATCCAGAGATTCCAGCGATGAGTTCGATCATGAAAACCAGAGACAGAAACACTGCATACTGGGAGAGGTCAGAGGTCAAGATGAGTAATCATGTTAATCTGTTAATCTGTGTCCCCTCAGGGTGTAATCTGAAACGACGTCCCACCAGTTTGAGCATCCAGGGCCGACCCCTGCAGGTGGCGAAGCAGCCGAACAGCCCGAACAGGACGATGGCGGCGCCGGTACCGGCCAGCGCGTACGGAGCGTTGGTGGGGCCGCTGGAGATCAGCAGCATGTACGGCCCCAACATGAACTTCCACCACAACCCCACCGAGAGCAGGACCACACCTGTCACCTGAGGGGGCGGAGCCAGTGGTCAGACTGATGGCCAATCAGATGCTTGTTTTAAACAAAGGTTTTAAATAAATCATGATTCCTCATCTCAGGTCCTGGTTCTATTTCCAGATGATAGAACCTGCCTGATATTGTTTTTCTGTCCGATCAGAACTCGTCCAGATGGGCTGAGTCACAGCAAGGAGGCGGGTCGTGATTCAGCAGCACATGACTGAGAGCGAACGGCGGCAGCCAAGTGACAAAGTGACAAACAGACGAGAACCAGAGCAGCAGCGACGCTAACATCTCAGATTCACTGAGGCAAGGTGAATTTAACGAGATAATTCATGACGTTGCTTTATCTCGGTTCCTCCGTCTCTGCTGTATCGGAGAAATGTTACAAAGCTCCAAAAAACAGAAAAATAACAATAATTCAGATCCAGCTAATGTGTGGAAATGATGTAGATGTGAATCGGATCCCTCTGAAGACAAACAGGAGGAAAAGGTTCTGTTCAGCAGCACAAACCGTCTGGGAGGCGGACCGGGTCCAAAAGTATCAAATCATCACATTTATAAAATAATAGGTCAGGTTATTTATGCCAAAAGTGATTTTTTTTTAACCTAAGTTATCTTTTGGCAATAACAGAAGTGATCTTTTTCTAATCAGTTGACAGAAAATAACATAATTTCTTTATGTTAAGTGAAAAAATGAATAATTCACTGAATGTTTGCTTCATCAAACCAACACAAAAAGTTTAGTTAGTTCAACTAACTTCCTTTCTATCAATCTGAAGTGACCTGAACTAGCTTGGTTCATTTATTAATTTTATCTTAGCTCATAAAGTCAGATTATTCTCTCTTTTTTCTTTCAATTAACAAAACACAATTATGTGGAACCAGTTGAAAAGAAAAGATGTTAAGTCAATAATTAATATCTCTGAGTTTACCGTGGAGGTTCAGCTCCTACCTGCCTCTAGAAACCAGGATCTACCTGCAGAAGGAGAAACTTAAACTCTGCTCCTCTTCCTCAGCCTGCCAGAGAAGGAAGAGAAGGAAGAGGAGGGTCCTCACCCAGAAGATGAACGAGTAAAGCAGCAGCAGCGTCTTCAGGATGAATATCACCGGCTTGGTCTCCATCCTGCTGGGAGCCATCATCAGTCTGACTTCAACTGGACCCTCTGCTCCTCTTCCTCTGTCTTTGTATGAGCTGAGGAAGGCTCGCTGACGCGTCAAACGGCGCCCTCTGCTGGAGGGAAATATAACTGCAACATCCTCAACTGTGACGGGGATTTTTCAGAATCAGTTCAGTTAAAGTTTGTTTTTAGGGTTTTTACGGAGCGGTTCTGGATCAGTTTGGGTTCTGGGTCAACACAGATGAACGTGTGAATGTCCAGAATGTGTCGGGGTGGTCGGGGGGTGGGGTGTTTGTGGGTGAGACCCGCCTCACCTCCGTGTGAATTGTGTGGTCACGGTGTGAAGTATGATGGTCAGATGGTGCCTCCTCTACAGACCAGGCCTCAGTGGGACAGAAACCAGAGAGAAACTGGGTCATCACTATGGCCCTCGTGACGTTCTGCTGGAGCGCCACATTAAAGGCTCAGCAGCACCGAGGTTCAGTTCTGACTCTGCCGCAGGTGGTGTTTGGGCTGCAAACAGATGACAGAGCTGTCAGAGCATCCGTCACACAGTCAGACTAACACAGAGGTTCTTGTTGTTTTATGGACAGATTCGGTCCAGAACAGCCCGATAACCACGGCTTTAACCAACCACTGCTGAAGCAGCTTCAGGCCACAACCTGGTTCTATAGAACAACAACCTCAAAGGAAATGGACCTGGTCCTGGACACCAACCAGGTCTGAAAAGAAAGTCAGTCCAACATCACTTTCCTCATGATGTCATGTCATGAAGTTTACCAGGTCCTCCTTCAGTAAAACAGCCCACAGCATGATGCTGCCTCCCCCATACTTCACAGTGTGGATGG